ATGAAGCTAGCTGCATCGACTATTACTAGATACACAGTTATTTATTTATTCTTTAAAAATCTCCATCGTCTTCTAGTCGATGCATCTAGCAGTTCATCGTCCACATCTAGCTGCATCGAGCGATGCTAGCTGCTTTTTTCGTGCTTGGGGGAAAAGTATTAAAAAGAGAAATGATCACGTGTACTGGCATGTGAATGAAAAAGAAGACGAACTGTCCAGGTTCGTAACAAATAGCTCCGCGAGCCCCAATTTTATGGGGTCCTAGATCCTTGGTTCCCCTTCCGACCTCATACCTGTGAGAAAATCGATCAGCTTTGAGCAATAGCTCCGCGAGCCCAAAGGTAAAGATGCTAGATGTTGGTGATGATTGTTGATCAAATCACAAACATAGAGTAAGAATATTAACTTTCGGCGATTCATGGTGAGATCACTTCCGAGATAAAGGACGGGGTGCAATAAGAACGAGGATCGGCCCCATTTCAGATCTTCTCGAAAGGTATCTATAATGAAAGAGCATACAATTTTATGGGGTCCTAGACCCTTGGTTCCCCCTCCGACCTCATACCTGTGAGAAAATCGATCAGCTTTGAGCAATAGCTCCGCGAGCCCATTCCGAGGCGTTTCTCGTAATTTTCCCAGAATACAACAAGTTTGAAGAAAAGTCTTATATTCCATTCGATGCAGCTCTAAACGGCGAACAAAACTATCTATTACTCAATTGTTATGTACACTGCGAACACACACGTTCTAGAATATTATGGTTAAAAATGAGCTTTCCAGCACAGCCAACGATAGTATTTCAACTATTTCACCATGAAAGAAGCTAGATTGCGGTCTGGCTTATACATCGAAAGAAAGCTCTTTCAAAACTCTACAAAATGCTTTTGTACACACCGACATTTTTACGTTTCTACGGTGTTGTGTCAAAGTGCCATAGAAAGTACGATACAGATCGAAAATTTGGCATTAGAGCGAATGACTTTATTCGTAATGTTAAACGGCGTGTAAGAACGTTGTCCAAGATAGTAGAAACGTGTCCAATATCTCATTTTGTGGAGAACTGAAGGGGCTCTCCAATGATCTCATCGAAAAAGTTCTGAAAGAAAGTCTAAGGTCACTGGGTTTTCTAGCAGACCCAGTTCTTTAGCAATCTCTATCGCAAGACCCCGAAGTCTAGCATAACATTTCTTCATCGAAATATATAGAACTCGACGCGCTCTTTCACTTGGTACCAATTTGAAGGTTCTACGTTAGAAAATGTGGTCAGCAGCCGTTCTACAAGTTAGGCGAAATCTGCCGGGAAATGCATTTTTCCGTTACGAGGGTAAAATGGCTATAACTTTTTTTCTAATAAGGCTAGAGACTTGCGATTTTCACCAGTCGGTTCAGCTTGCTGAGCTCTACAATATGAGACGGGTCTCATGACTAGCGTCAAAGGCCAATGTAATTGATGGCAGGTTTTATATGGATCAAGTCTATCCGTCGATGCCGAAAACATCACTTTGCAGCAGTAATATCGAAAAAAATGAGCGTTCACACTTTCAACTGAGAATAAATTCTCAGCCGTTTTGTAGAGTTTAGAAAGAGCTTTCTTTCGATGTATAAGCCAGACCGCAATCTAGCTTCTTTCATGGTGAAATAGTTGAAATACTATCGTTGGCTGTGCTGGAAAGCTCATTTTTAACCATAATATTCTAGAACGTGTGTGTTCGCAGTGTACATAACAATTGAGTAATAGATAGTTTTGTTCGCCGTTTAGAGCTGCATCGAATGGAATATAAGACTTTTCTTCAAACTTGTTGTATTCTGGGAAAATTACGAGAAACGCCTCGGAATGGGCTCGCGGAGCTATTGCTCAAAGCTGATCGATTTTCTCACAGGTATGAGGTCGGAAGATAGATTCATGATCTCACCATGAATCGCCGAAAGTTAATATTCTTACTCTATGTTTGTGATTTGATCAACAATCATCACCAACATCTAGCATCTTTACCTTTTAGAATTATAAACGATCTATGTTCTAACAATATAATAAATTATGCGATAACACCGACTGTGGATTATTGAACCGTAGCACAACTCAGACAATCCATACTATTAGACGGTGCTTTATGATAACTAAAAGGGAAAGATGGCGGGATGGTAGTGATGATTTTAAATTAAATCGAGATATTGATAGAGTAGGGCTTAAGTTCTGGATGTTCATGATGCGGTCACTCCAGAGACTCTTAACTTTAATAGCTATAACTCGGTATGGCTAGCTAAGTCTGCTACCGGAGTGAAATTCCAGAACGATTTTTTGGTATTTTCTTCCTCTTATAATTTTCGAAGGGCAGAATGTCCAAAGATCTTAAACATCTGAGATTAAAGAGAAGAGTGTGCTTAATATGGGTTCCGGAACGATGCACACGAACAATGTTGCGCACGGGTACCTTACGCAGGAGGAATGTTCCGCACAGAAATCTTACGCACCAGGTTGTTACGCACGGACACTTGCGCACGTAACACATAATGAGATGAAAATCAAACTGATGATGTTCTGTCATCACAGCTTCTTTTTAGCTTAAAGTTTTTGAAGAACATAATTAATTATTGTTAATAAACTAAACTAAACGATGACGTTTCGTAAACAATATAGTACTATAAAATATAGTTCTGTGCAATATAGTGCTACACTACTATACACTTTCGAAATTTTCTGTACTATGACTTCTCAACGTGAAATGACTATAACTACGAAAGGTCGACAACTCATGGTTGACGACGGATATTCATATGTAAAAGATCGTCAAACGAATTTAAAAACGTACTGGCGCTGTGAGAACCATAAACGCTTTAAGTGTCATTATCGTTTACATACATGTAATTTAACAAATGATATATTAGAACGAAAAGGTACACATGTTTCCAATTGTAACCGTGATACGATGAAATTATTATTACGAAAATTCCACGATAAACTAAATGAGAGAGCAACATCAGCGCAAGAAACAACTGATACAATTCTCTGCCAATGTTCAACATCTATTCCTGATACTGTACGTGCTCGTTTACCAGCATTAGATCATGTCAAAAGAAAAATTCGTAAACGTCGCCAAAATCGTCATTTACCATCTGTTCCTAACAACATCGATTTTCCAAGTGTGCCTCCAGTATTACAAGTAACCAAACAAGCGCAAATCTTTTTACGTTCTGACAGTGGTCCTGGTAAGTGAAGTTAGCCTAATTCATTCGACTATAAAAGCATAGGTTCTTCTTTAGGTCCAGATCGTTATGTGTTACGTGCGCAAGTGTCCGTGCGTAACAACCTGGTGCGTAGGATTCCCGTGCGGAACATTTCTCGTGCGTAAGGTACCCGTGTGCAAGAATCCGTGCGCAACATTGTTCGTGCGCATCGTTCCTAAATCCCTTAATATTTCGAGGCGTTCCCAGAGTTCACAAGCTCTTCCCTTCAAAAACTATGACAAATATGCGAACACCTGCTTCTGCAGAGATGAGTTGTTTTTTGCCATTTATTGAGAATATCCCTTTGTGCTGTCGGGAGTGTTTGTGAGGGTGGACGCCGCTAGTAGGAAAAGTATGGATGACTCTTTTATGAAAGAATGCCAGAAAGTGTATTGCATACAATGGGCAAAAAATCTTTGGCGATGGAGTACCAACGAATTCATTACTGCATGTAATATTTAATGTCGTAGTTGCTATAAAACGATGAGTTTTTCTGCGTTATTTTGCAAAACTTTTCACTTCTGCAAGAGAAATGCATGCAAAATTCATGTGTGTAATATCACAAGAGCAGCGGAAATTTTAATACAGGTTTTTGAAAGAAAAACGGTCTAGGACTGTACCCATTCACATTGATTTGGCAAAAATTTGAACTTTCTAATAATTTTTTTTGCCGTTTCAAGAGTCAGGAGAAAGAAGATTGAGACAAAGAGGCAAGAAACAGCAGAATAATGTAGAAAACAGTTAAAATTTCTCAAAATATTTTGATATACAAGAGATCTTCACTCAAATCAAGGCTTTACCGGTAAAAAATGAAGGTTTCACTCATTTAAGAATCTTACATCAGTGGATGTCAGCTGATGAAATATCGTTGGCAGTTCAGAACGGAAACCGCTACGACTACACCCTTAAAACGAACCGTATTTTTTGCGCTGCTTTTCGTTAAATGTCTCACGAAATTTCAACATGGGATGTGCTTAAGACATTTCATATGCATAAAGCTTCTCAGTGCAACTAAGACTTCTTTTCTAGGGCTATGAAACAGACGTTGGGGCGAAAGGGATGAAGTTGTCTGGTGGTGAGAAACAACGAATAGCAATTGCTCGTGCGCTTATCAGTCGCCGAGAAATATTACTATTCGACGAAGCAACCAGTGCAATGGATAGCGAAAATGAATAGGTTTGTTTTTATTTGCATTTTATTGAGCAGGAGATAAGAGAATAATCTTCTGTTGTTGAAGGTTGTACAACAAGCGATCGATTGTACTTTACAAGATAAAAAGCTTACATGTATTATCATTGCTCATCGTTTATCAACAATTACAAATTGTGATTTGATTTATGTTATGAATCAGCGTGGGCAAATTGTTGAGTATGGCAGACATCAAGAACTTTTAAACAGACGTGGATTGTATTACAATCTAACGCTGATGAGTTCTTAATACATTCTTTATCATAATTTGGTTATTATACTATAGATTGATTAGTATATCAGTACCAGAAACTATTGTATATAAGCAAAAAATGACTGAAAAAAATCTTCTTAACCTCATCACTGCTCATCATTCTTTGTTTCCGGTAGTTCGATGGGCTTATATACAGTATTTTAGTAAAGATTTACCCAATTTTTTCAAAATTGGTTTTTTGAGTTTTGATTATTTTGTGTATGCTTTTCGATAAAGAAGAGCGCTTTTCTTTTCGTATACAAGCTGACGAAACATTTGTTGAAGCATTTGTAATATTTGTCAATGTTTGTCTCTATGCTTTGTTTCTTGTTGTAAAGGGGTTAACGAAGGCGTCCGTTAGACCCTACTAACAGCTTCGCAAAACAACACCCAGTTCTATTCAACTAGCAGCAACAATTATTATTAGTTTAATGAAAAAAGTTTTATACACAAAGCTGCTTGTACAATGTTGAAGTTCAATGTTGATAAAAAGAATAGATAAAATTCTTTTTTGTTGTTCTGAGAAGAATGTGGTGGAATCTAATCTAATATGAAACCGAGATGTGGATGTGGAGGAGGAGGAACGAAAATTAGCACACGAAAACAAAGTATTGCAAACGAAAATACTAAGTTATAGAAATATTAAATATAAATTAAATGTAAAATTCAATTTATATAAATTACTAAAATATAATAGTAAAGCTCCTCCTTCCCTGTATATGAGAGAAGACGAAGTGGCTTGAATTTGAAGATTAATCAGAAGAAATCGATCCAGCCCCGTTCCGTCGACACGTTAAGTGATTTTCCCGCTTCGGCGACACTTTATAGTGTCGGCGGCTCACAAACATCTTTCATCTCCCGCCCTAATGTTGTCGACGAGTCAGGAAAAAAATTAATTAGTCGACGAAACGGGACGATACCGAAGAAATCTGTTAGGAAGTATAAACTAAATCTCATATCAGCTGTCATCTTTCAATATACATATTCTTATCGTCACTCGATGGTTATTTTCCCTTTCTGTTCTTCTGATATATGTATTCACTCTTCTGCTTTTT